CCAATCCACTCATTATCCAAATCCAAAATTCCTTACATCATCCTCTCTCCCTAAATTTCTCAATTACCTTCTGCTGGTGCCTGGGACATGAGGCGTTGCTGGGAACACGGAAGCTGATACACTGGCGAAAGAAGCCGCTTCATCTGCTGGCCCCTTCCTCCCCCTTACTGTCACAGCCGAGGACCTCAACAAGTACATCAAAAGAGAAATCTTCGCAAATTGGCAACAAGAGTGGACAGTGTATTGCCAACTTAAAAATCCTCCAATGTCCATATTCCCTCAACTTTCTGGTCTACCACGAGCAGATCAAGTAAAATTAACCAGGCTGTGCATTGGGCACACGTTTTTCACCCACCAATGCATAATCAAGAAAGTCCAATCCCCAACCTGCATCCCTTGTAATGTCCCCCTCTCAGTTAAACATGTTTTAATAACTTGCCCTACATATCAACAATTAAGATCCAAAATGTTCCCTTCACTTTCTGATCTCCATACCATCCTTTCAAAGTTTTTTCATGAAATCCCTCTCTTTTTCAAACAAATTAATCTCCAAATTTAATGTATTCTTTCCTTGTCCTAACTTTTAATGAGGTTGTCCCATTTTCCATAGGTAATGGCCGCAAGAGCTTTTCCATCCATACTTTCAGGAATCATAACGTATCATCGGGGAAGCCTAAATCCGGTGTCATATCTTGTCTAGCCCCCCAGAAGGAGGGGGGGAAAGGGGTCAAAGGTCAAACGCTCCGACCGCCATAACTTTTGAACGAATCGTCGGATCAACTTGATCTTGGGCTCAAATGAAAGCTCTTAACAAGACCTTTCATTTGATGTATAGTAATGTCTACTTTTGGTAATTTTTCAACGTAAAAAAAATCATTTTTTGATTTTTCAAGAAAAAAAATTCAGTTCTTTGGGGTTTTCTCTAATTCGGAACGCATGAATCATTACAAAAACCAATTGAAATGAAAGTCCTTGATTCAAGCTTTAAAACGAGCTATCGTTGAACTTGGGGAAATGAATGGTTCAAAAGATATGACCGTTCAAAGTTGGCGTGGCGCGCTATTTTCGAAGCGCGCGGAGTGGATACTCGCGTGCCACCCCTCCCTACCTTTCCCCCTGGGGCCCGCTTCAGTTGATAACAGATACAGAAAGGTTCAAAGCTCCTTCCACCTAAAGAATGACCAGTCATTAATGTTAAATTACTTTTATTTCTAACGAAAAAAGGGAAATAAAAATAAATTAAATGCTAACAAACGATAAGACGCTGGCATACATTATTTTTTCGCCCCCCCCCCCTAAATGATTTAATATTTAATAGCCAAATCAAGCTTCTGTTACCACAAAATACACTCAAAAGCTGTAGATAATATTCATAGGGTGTGGTACGCAACTAGCCGACCAGCACTTGAACGCGCATTTACTACTGAATATCTCTCCCTCACCTCTCTCCGATCTATTTCCCTCTCATCAAGTTTTACCTGCACAGGAATAATCGGATACCGTAATGATGAGAGGCTTGATTTGGCTATTAAATATTAAATCATTTAGGGGGGGGGGGGCGAAAAAATAATGTATGCCAGCGTCTTATCGTTTATTAGCATTTAATTTATTTTTATTTCCCTTTTTTCGTTAGAAATAAAAGTAATTTAATGTTAATGACTGGTCATTCTTTAGGTGGAAGGAGCTTAGAACCTTTCTGTATCTGTTATCAACTGAAGCGGGCCACAGGAAGAAAGGTAGGGAGGGGTGGCACGCGAGTATACACTCCGCGCGCTTCGAAAATAGCGCGCCACGCCAACTTTGAACGGTCATATCTTTTGAACCATTCATTTCCCCAAGTTCAACGATAGCTCGTTTTAAAGCTTGAATCAAGGACTTTCATTTCAATTGGTTTTTGTAATGATTCATGCGTTCCGAATTAGAGAAAACCCCGAAGAACTGAATTTTTTTTTTTGTTGAAAAATCAAAAAATGATTTTTTTTACGTTGAAAAATTACCAAAAATAGACACTACTATACATCAAATGAAAGGTCTCGTTAAGAGCTTTCATTTGAGCCCAAGATCAAGTTGATCAGACGATTCGTTCAAAAGTTATGGCGGTCGGAGCGTTTGACCTTTGACCCCTTTCCCCCCCTCCCCCTGGGGGGGCTAGACGAGAAATGACACCGGATTTAGGCTTCTCCGATTATACGTTATGATTCCTGAAAGTATGGATGGAAAAGCTCTTGCGGCCATTTCCTATGGAAAATGGGACAACCTCTTTGGGTACTACCCTTATGTGACCCCTACTTTTTAAATTTTTAAATTCTGTACTACACTATTTTGATCTCTCCTCTAAAGTGTTAATGGCTCAAATGTTAAAGGCACCAAATAAACGTATCTACCAATCAACTATACATACATACAAACATACATACATACACACATACATACATACATACATACATACATACATACATACATACATACATACATATTCCTGCGTGATCGGAAATTTCAAGTCAAAGTCAATTCTGTTCTCTCAAAACCTACCTCTCAAGAAAATGGGGTCCCTCAAGGCAGTGTCTTGAGTGTGCTGCTTTTTCTTATAGCTATCAATGATATAACTCAATGCCTACCGCAGAATGTACACAAATCTCTATTCGTGGACGACTTTTGCATCTATTTCACAACTAAAAATGTCAAGTATGCCAAACTTCTCCTCCAAAAGGTTATTCAAAACCTAGAAGATTGGTCGGAGAAATCAGGGTTCACCTTCTCCCCAATCAAAAGTAAGGGTATCATCTTTTCTAAGAAACACAAAATCCCTCGTATTTCTCTGCGTATGGGAGGGACAAAACTTGAATTCGTCGAATCAATTCGCTTCCTTGGTTTAATTTTTGACAGAAAATTAACATGGAAAGAACATATATTGGCACTTGAATCCAAATGCAAACAAAGAATGAATATTATGAAATATTTAGCTCACACTTCGTGGGGAGCTGATAAACCAACGTTGCTTAAAATTTACAGATCGTTTATACGATCAAAACTTGATTATGGTTCTATTCTTTATGGCTCCGCAAATCGCTCTTTACTTAAAAAGTTAGACAGTATTCATAACTCTTGCATCAGACTAGCTACTGGTGCCTATCGGACAAGTCCTGTCGTTAGTATTGAAGTTGAAGCACAAGAGCCCTCACTTCAACACAGAAGATATCAATTACTGGCAGGCTATGTCACTAAACTAGTGAGCCATCCAAGTAATCCTGCTATTGAAGATTGCTTTGAGGCGAGGGCTGAGATCCCATTCTATGATACCTTCTTTTCTAAGTTCAATTTTTCTGACGTTATTCCAGCTGCAAATCTCAATTTTCCTCCCTGGACCCCTCCTAATATTGAAATTCACCTCAACTCCTGCTCTTTATCAAAGTCCGATACATCCCATGCCGAATTACGAAGTAACTTTTTCTCGACATTGGAAAATTATCAAGACTATAAACAAATTTACACCGATGGATCCAAACTGGAAAACAGCCAAACAGGATGTGCTTTTATCACACAAAATGAGTCTAGATCCTTCAAGCTGTCTCCCATTGCCTCAATTTTTACTGCCGAAGCCTTTGCTATACACCAAGCATTAAATTTTCTTCAAGAGACAGAAGATAAAAAAGCCATTATATGCTCTGACTCACTGAGTGTTCTGTCTGCCCTCCAAACTGTCCCTGGTTCCAATCCACTCATTATCCAAATCCAAAATTCCCTACATCATCTTCTCTCCCTGAATTTCTCAATTGCATTCTGCTGGTGCCCGGGACATGTAGGCGTTGCTGGAAACACGGAAGCCGATACTCTGGCGAGAGAAGCCGCTTCATCTGCTGGCCCCTTCCTCCCCCTAACTGTCATAGCCGAGGACCTCAACAAGTACATCAAAAAAGAAATCGTCAAAAATTGGCAACAAGAGTGGACAGTGTATTGCCAACACAGAAATCCTCCAATGTCCGTATTCCCTCAACTTTCTGGTCTACCACGAGCAGATCAAGTAAAATTAACCCGGCTGTGCATTGGGCACACGTCTTTCACCCACCAATACATCATCAAGAAAGTCCAACCCCCGACCTGCATCTCTTGTAATGTCCCTCTCTCAGTTAAACATGTTTTAATAACTTGCCCCACATATCAACAATTAAGATCCAAAATTTTCCCTCCACTTTCTGACCTCCATACCATCCTTTCAAAGTATTTTCATGAAATCCCTCCCTTTTTTAAACGAATTAATCTCCAAATTTAATGTATTCTTTCCTTGTCCATCTCCAAATTTAATGCATTCTTTCCTTGTCCTAAATTTTAATTTTCTACTACCCTTTTTGTGACTCCTACTTCTTAAATATTTAAATTATGTTTTTTTGACGATCTCTCCCCATCTACGGTGTTAATGGCTTCAATGTTAAAGCACCAAATAAATGTATTTACCAACCAACCATACATACATACATACATACATACATACATACATACATAAACGTACCTACCAACCTAGAATGCAACTGTAGAATGCAACAGTATACACTAAAAAAGAGGACAAAAGAGGTTCGCAGATTCTCGTATTTTTGTTGAATAAGTCATTCAGAAGTGACGGTATGGGCTCAGGCAACAAGAAGGACTATTCATTTATTTGCATCCTAATGATGAATACGGAAAATGAATGAGACAGAATAGGATAGTACGAGCAATACGAAACTTACAGAGAGGTGTCTACATTGTTTAAATTAAGTGACGTATCATCGCAGGTGGCGGTCTACCAACAGTTGCACAGAATATGGAGAGAATAGATAAACCTATATTCCATCTATGATTTCAAGAGGAAGGGTAAGTAGGCGTTTCTGGGAATAAAAGCCTGCCTGCCAACAGTTTGAAGACTTTGCACCCCCGGTAGAATGTCGAGTGGAATAATAACTTTGCGTCTCATTGCTGCAGATAAGCTTCCTACCAATGTTATTTTCTGGGAGAAAGTGACTTACCAGTAGTTCCGAAGAGCTGATTGACGAGGTCCCAGTAAAATCCCTCTTGCATGGACTTGTCAGTGGAGTGGGAGAGGCAAAGACTGGGCCACAGCTGTGATCTGATAGGGGAGTTGGTGGGCCAGTAGTTGTCCCTCAGAAGCTTCTTGACCTCTTGCTTGCGGCCAGCCTGGAGGAGGGCGCAGATTTCACTATAGCTCTTCAATGGGAGCTTCTTCGTTTTCTCAGGGCTCTCGGCCAGGACCGGAATCGTGCTGGCGTCCACATGGGGAGGGAATGGATCCGGCTCTTTTTCCAATTCCCGCTCTCGATCCCAGTCACCGGCAGCGTCGTTGGCGTTATTGGCATTGGCTGAGTTGTTGTTCATACTGCTTAAGCTGTTTGTGATGTTCACGCGGATGGGAAAGGCCTTTTCCTCCGACATGAATTGAGGGAGCTCACCACCATTTTTCTGAATCGAATCCTCATCGACCAAGACTCCTGGTTCTGTTCCAGTGGGTCCTTTTGCGTCCGTGCTGTCCGAGTCTAACTCGTCCCACTTCCGCTTACGTTTCGTCCTCAAACATGAGCTCCATCTCGCCAACTTGCTTTAAGCCTGCCAGACAATCAACTCTGCAACACAACAAACAATGAAATTAAGTCGAGATTTGGCAATCCTCTCGTTATTATTAATAAGAATCGAGGTACTCTCACACAACACATAAAGGTATGAAATTTTGAGATGGTAAGGGTGTGGGGTGTTCGATCCATCTTGTACGAGAGTGCCAAAACCTTTTTGACACCTGCCGTTGCTCTTATTGAAATCTTCGTCTACGATTAGGTAGCTGTATTCAACGCGTTTCTAATCGTCGAATGAGGAATCAATGTAGGTGTGATCATCATAGATTTGTTGCAGATTCGTGTTGTCTTGTTTAATGTAGACAAGCAAGTTAGCTTCATCGCGGAGCAGAAGATTCGGAATACGAGAGTTAGAGTTAGTTTGACACAGGTAGAAATTACCTACCATGCTGTGCCGCCCATAATCGAGCACCGAGCTCTGCTCATCACAACTGACATCATCGAAGATGAAGACCTCGAAGACAAACAAATTAGCGCGAAGGAAAAAGCCAATTTCAAATTTTTGGGTTGTCCGCTGCAAAGAAGCATACCTTCGTTTCACTTACCTTGCCCTACTTCAATCCCGGCTGACCGTTCTGAAATCGAACTACAAAGGGGTACATAGTAAGAGACCAAAATGAGAAACAACTAAATCAGCCAAAATACACATGATAAAAGAACAACTTAATTTGGGGGAAAGGCTGCAAATTAAGAAAAAGGAATAAACAAAACCCGGAACGTTTCAAAATAATTACAATTTCATTATCAACCGGAAAATAAATTAAAAACAAAAACAAAAACGAGCCGTCGCACTTTGGTCCGAATAGCCGGTTTAAGCGGCATTAAATCAGATATGTATGTTTAAACCTCGCAACATGAGTTTTCAGGGATTTTTAGGGTCGCTGAGTGCAAAAATGCTAATATTCTTCAGGAAAAATCCATTTTTAACATTTTTATACTTTATATAACTGTGGTAATATTTTGTTCAGAAACCTTAACTTGAGGCACATAGATCACTCTGGCGCGGTGGAGCAGTGGACATCGCGTCTCACTGATCTTCTTGATGTCCCGGGTTCGATTCTTGATATAATTTTTTTTTTTTTACAAGTTTAAAAATTAATTTTACATTGGATGGACTATAAGAAGCTAAAAGTAGAGCCTCGTCAAACACTACTATCAAGGGAACTTGAAAAAGACAGCTCAGGATAATACTTCTACGTTTCATGGCTCCAGAGGCCTACTTTCAAGTCCCACCGATCAGCCGTTTGAACTTGTTTTCGTCTGCCAAGCTAAACTTAAGCTTAAATAGATCCATTTTGATAGATTATTTGTTTGAAACATGGGTAAACGTAAAAAAAAACGTTTACGGGACCTCAAAGTAGCTTTCTAAGACAATTTCATTGCTCGGGAGCCTTACTTTCAAGTCCCACCGATCAACCGTTTAGACTTGTTTTCGTCTGCCAAGCTAAACTTATGCTAACATATATCTACACTGATAGATTATATGTTTGAAACACTTAAAACGTCAAAAAAAAAACTTTTACGGGGCCTCAAAGTAGCCTCCCGAGGCGATTCTTTGCTGTTCTTGAGCACAAGTGTCAATTGGTCCCCATCAACCCCATCAACTCGTATTATTCTGCCTGGGCAGATTTAAGCTCTAATGCATTCGATTTGCTAGAATATGACAATGGAACACGATAAAAGTCATCGTCAATGGCATATGATAGCTAATTGTAGCAAGTGATAAGAAACGCGAAAACGTCATTTTTCATAAGAAATAACTTGAGGCGATTGTGTGTGATTGATCTGTCACTCAGACTAAAAGGTAGTCTAGAGTCATGACAATAACTTCCGAGTAAAATTACGAGGTGCTCAGAGGTGCAAAGGATATTTTTTGGGTCCTACTTTTGCGATTTTATTGAAAAAAGTGACTATGTCTAAGGGTTAATCTAGAACATTAGATATGATGAAAAAGAACAGTTTCAGCATGAAACATCTTAAACTTATCTTATATTTTGTGAATCAAGTGCCCAAACACTTTCAGGTACGGTGAAACGACGAAAACAAGCCCTTAAACACAGCACTGCCGCTCGGTAACTGGAATCGCACTCATAAAGTGCTCCGCGCGCCGCACTTCCCAATCTTGTCACATCTTTATTAGTTCTTTAATCGAAGTGAAATTTTATAGGAGTCTTCTCTACAGTATGTACTATCGATCTACTTCTTAAAATCTAACTTTTTCCAAACTTCACTTTTTCGATTTATTGCCGCTTAAACCGGCTATTCGGACCATAGTGCGTCGCTACGCTATTATTGCGAGACCGAGACTGATTACCAGGTAAACAGACTCGGCACAGTGCAGCAAAATCAAAGCACACAAGACAAAGATTACAAAAAAGGATGGAAATTTAATCACCAGCTCCCTCTGGGAGGAAAAACTGGTGATAAGAGGCACAGAGACCATCAACATCAGCGCGGTAATTACAAAGTTTGTTCCTGCGCTTTAAGATATTCATCATTTCGAGGAGAAGACGCGGAAAATAACGCTTTTCGGAGGCTAAAATTTTAGCCCCCCGAAGTCAAAGCGATGCACCTCTGCATCTTGGTGGTGCTGCAAGGCAGTCCTCTCTCCTTTCCCATATCGATGTTGAGAGAGCCTCTTTTTTAGTACCTGGGATGTCTGTCCTACGTACCCGACTTCACAATCCTGACACTGTACGTAGTAAACGACGCCAGCCACCAAGTCATTAGTTCTTTTTGATTTCAAATTGGACATTAAAAAACCGAGATCGTTATATTTGGTATGCACAACAGAAAATCCATACTTTTTTAAAACATTTGCTAAGCTTTCCGACAAAAGGGGCACATATGGCAAAGAAATCAGTTTGTCAAATTTTATTTAACCCTTTTTAC